CCCCCCCCCCCCCAAAAAAAATATTGTAAAAAAGGGGGGAAACCAAACAAACAATATTCCTCGTGAATTTGTGGGATGCTATGAAGCGAAGGTTTCCTCGGTTGGGCTGAAAATTCATCAAGGAGAAGCCACTATATCTAGTGGCAAAACGGATTGCGCGGGAATGATCAATGCGTGAGACCAAACTTTCTAATTTAAGACACAGCCGCTCGCACCATCACCAAACCCAAGCTCATCAAGTTTTGCTTTCTCCTCCACCTCCTCTTTCGTCATCCCCGGCTTGCACCCCCTCTACTCCTCGTCGTTCATATTCGCGGTCGGAATATCGCGAGGGAAACTTTTCCACCTCGACAATTATAATGAATCAATGGGGATTCGTAGCAGAAACTTTGCTAATGGCAATCAAAAGATAAGTTATTCCGGAACGATTATAAATGTACGTATAGCTCTTAGTATCGAATATTTAACGACCTGATCGTTTTGAACTGATACTTGGCATCGTTACGTTTTTTTACGGTCTATTCGTTATTTTAAAGTGTAGTCCATGGCTTTATAATGATTATTGATGCGAAAATATATGAGTGTATTAATGTATATTCGAATACGCGATTTAAACTTTTTTCTTTTATATTTACTGTGTTGAATTTCTTCAATCCCTAATCCTCTCATCTGACCTAGGATTTTTGTGTTCTCAATTTTTTGTAGCTTCTGCTTTAGTAAATTTTTTTATTGGCTCTTTTTCTTTATTTTTAAAGTTTGCTCCTCAGAGCACTGTACAAATACAGCTATTTCTATCTAATCAACTGTTCCATTTCTTTACAGCACTAATCCTTTTTCAAATCTCATTGAAATTCTCATATCCTTTCCGTACTTCACCAAGCATGCTATACACAGTTTGGTATTCATTTTCTTCAACTTTTTTAATTCTTCCTACTTCATGTCTTTATTTTTTTTTCTTTTTCTTGTTTTTGTTCTACCTTTTTTCATTTCGCTCTCAATTTTAAAAAGAATCATTACCTTTTTAATTCTACTTTCATTAAACTTCTTTCACAGAATTATTTAAATCATGTTATCATGTGTTTTTCTTTATTTTTTGGCGTTTTTTTTCTAATTTTACAACCTCTTTTCATGTCCTCTTTAATTTGGGCCAAATTATTGCCCCGATATCAAACCTTGACTTACCAATTTATTGCCATAATAATTTTCATTTATGATCACTATATTTTACTTTATTTTTCTTTTTCTCTCTTTTATGTACTTAAACTTTTTCTGTTTAGTATGTTCAAAAAAATGTTTTTTTCTTCTATTCCTTTTTTCTTATTTTCCATTCTCTTAACTCTTTTCTAGTTTCTTTTTCCAGCTTTTTCTCTTCTATTTGTTTTTGTCTCTGGATCCATTCGTTTTCTCCTTAAGTCCCTCTATTTGGGTTTCCAAGAAAATTTTACTTTTTCTACTGAAAAAGCTAAGATTTAGATCAAACGTAACCTCAAATTGCACCTCTCTCATTCTTTTAACTATGCTAAAAATTCTTAATGTGATTTAAATTTAACATCTTCTACTTGTTCAAACCCACAGATTACCTCGGCACAGCAACAAGAACGGGAGCAGAAAAGATTGAAAAAACAGACTAAAAACCATCCGAGCAGGGTCCACCAGAGAAATCCATACAAAACGGATCAGCCGTCAATCAGATATTCACAAGCGGCAATCGCTGCGTCGGCGGCAAAACTGGCGACGTCGAGGACGACGAGTGCAAGGGGCCTATCGCGGTGATCCCGCTAGGGGGCGCGGTCAGGCGTCCATAAACGCAATACGCGAGTGGCGCAGCTCTTGGAACGTACAAACAAGCCAAGAGCTCAGCCAGCCCAAAATCCTTTGGGAGGCGCATCAAATAAGCCGGCTTCGGCGTCTGCGCGGCTCCACGCTCAACGAACGTTGGGGGTGGGGGGGGGAGAGGTCGAGGGCCTGCTTGTGGCATATAACTGCAAACACAGATATATATACACAGATAAGGCTCGCCTGAGACCATGATCGATCCAAGCTCCTCTGAGGAGGACAGTGAGGAGGACCAACACGTCCACCAGGCCGTTGGTGGTAGGGGCCGTGGCGGGTCGTCCCATCATCATGGGGCGGCGACTGGAGGCCCCGGGGCTGGTCACGGTGCCCGCTACCACGCTGTCGGTGGGGTGACGGGTCCCGCTGGTGGTTCGATCGGAGGTGGCCATGCGGGTGCCGGCGGCATGGGCAGTCCTGGGGGCCCGGGTTCGATGGGACAGGGTTCACCGGGCCCGGCAGGTCTTGCCGCCGGCGTCGTTGGGTCGCATCATCATGGCCGTGGAGGCGCCAAGGCTGGCCTAATGATAGCGGCAGAGCAGGACGCGGCTCTGTCTGGTCAGTCGGGCCTCGATGTGCCCGGCGGCCACAGTGCCAGGAATTCTCTGTCGCCATCGATGAGCGCGCACCAGGATGCGGCCAACTACGCGGGCAAAGCTGGTCAGAGGCCCATCAGTCCGTCGCCTTCCGTCGCCAGCGAGAAGACTGAGCAGGAACTGCAGGTGATGGTCGTATTTATATTGACTCCACTATGAGTACATATCATGTAGCGCCATCGATGTCAGAGGGATGAACTAAATTTTTCACCATAAAAGCCTTAAACTTCGTAGGAGAATCAATACTTTTATTTATAAACCATGGTGATACAACATATTTAACTGATATTTTTTGATATAATAAATTATTTAAAACAATATACATCCAAGAATAAGAAAAATAGAACTTTTGCTTTAAGCTGAGAATACGTGTAACTTGATATGTTTAACTGATCAAGGTGACTACAGTGCAATATATATGTTAGTGCCATGTATGTATGAATTTTTAGGTTATGAGAGCAGATCGCTGGTGGCGTCCTCTTGCGTTCATATACCTAGGTATATACAGAATTTTGACACTTCAGTAATAAATAATTTGAGATATTTTTTGAAAATGCAAGACTTAATGACACATATTTTTTAAACATAATATGGTTTTTTTGTTTTATATAACGGTAAGGTCTACTAGACTCGTTTTCTCGTAAAACCTATGTAAAACATATTCCTCCAATAGAAAGGTGAGATTTCAAAGAGTATTATTCAATTTAACTTAGCTTTATTAATGCTGGAAAATTTAATTCGTTACCTTGGCATGGGTGGCTTTACATGATAGCTTGTAATTTAGACTCAATACCTTGATTCTAAAATATGGGCAACCTGCATTTTTAGGTGTTGAGATTCTTAAAACTATGTATCTATATCAATCCAAAATATGGATGTAAAGACATTTTATCAATGTACTCGAAAGAACTTGTAAATTTTACTGCATTTTCCAAACCACCTATATTATTTCATTACCTTTGTGTGATGAAATTAAAGAACCTCTTTACGCATGTATAAAGGAGATGCTAGGATTTATTCCAGAGCACGTAATGTACAGAAATTTGTTGTGGTAAATAACAAATGGAGTAAACACGTAATAATGATTCTTGTATTCTGATGAATTTCATGCTGTATAGTATTCTAGATTGAACCCTAAGCATCTTTATGTGGATTATTAGTATTTGTTAAAAAACAAACCGATGATTAAAATTTAATTTTCTAAACGACGGGATTTCGTAGGATAAACAAGAGCGTGAGGAGGAAGAGAGAAAAACGAGGCTTCAGTTATACGTGTTTATTTCGAGGTGCATCGCATACCCGTTCAATGCAAAACAACCAACGGATTTGACAAAGAGGCACATGAAAATCACGAAACAGCAACTGGAAACGCTGTGTTCCCGCTTTCAGGTAGGTTTTAGCATCTCTTTTCGTTTGGTCTAGTTGTAATAAATCAATAAAAAAAAACAAGTCATCCAAAAATTTACAATAGCAATGGTATGTCACAAAACAAAACCAAATGGGAATCCCCAAGTCAACCATAGTACACGAGAAAAATCTTACGATAGAGCCGGCACGATGTAGATTCATATCAGATCACGCAGTGACTTGAATAAATAATAAGCCAAGTAAAGATACTGCGGAAGACTTTCAGATTCTGAAAGTAGATTTGTCCTGGCAGAGACTCATTTCCGACATAATAAAGCTCTTGTGGAAAATACATACATGACATTGTAATGGGACATCGGGTGACTTATCATTATATACTTATTTCGTAATAAATATCTACTTTAAGCTTTCGATTACCCTCGTTTTGCATAAAAAATTTTAAGATAACATGTACGACGGTCATCTAAAATCTGTTCGCAAATGACTCGTGATAAAAGCCTTCGAGCGAAACATTGGTTATATTCGTAGCCGAAGCCCCGGGAGCTAAGAAGTCTATATCGTATGCAAACAAGCCTTTGCTCGTAAAGGCATCGATTTCAACAAAATCGAAACTCGATATGACTCGGATATGACGCTACGGACTACGTGGAAACGCAATTAAATCCTCGATATTATATACACTTCGATTCGGCGGTAACTTTGGCAAATTCAATATGCAGGTACGGCGACCACGTTCAATCCTGTATCCTAATATTTCTGATATTTCTGTTTATCACGTACAAATCTATACCATTGCTATTAAACATCCGAAATTTGTGTAGTTGTACGACATGAGTGTTTATTACGCAACGTGGGTTTCAGAGCTTTTTGAAAGGCGAGACAAACATAATGGCCGACGAGGCTTTCCACAACGCGATTCAGAATTACTTTGACGTATTTCTGAAGTCAGAGCGGGTGGTGCGCATGGTGCAGAGCGGCGGTTGCTCACAGCACGATTTCCGCGAGGTATTCAGGATCAACATCGAGAAGCGTGTCCGGAGCCTCCCGGAAATCGACGGTCTGAGCAAAGAGACTGTGCTTACGTCCTGGCTGGCCAAGTTTGATTGTATCTTCAAGGGTACCGGTGACGATGACACCAAGAGGCCATCTAGGATGCAACAGCAGTCGCTGAATTCCGAGCTGATACTGTCGAAAGAACAGCTCTATGATATGTTCCAACAAATACTTGGCGTTAAGAAATTTGAGCATCAAATATTGTTCAACGCCCTCCTGTTGGATTCAGCCGATGAACAGGCTGCCGCCATCAGGAGGGAGTTGGACGGCCGCGTGTCGATTGTAAACGAAATGGCAGCGGTAAGATTATTCTTTCTATTGTAATAATCAATGATAATGATGAAGCTAAAAAAAAAAAAAAAATTCTTTTTTTTCTCGTTCTTCCTTGTCTTTGGTCACTCATCGCAGGACCGGAAAAAAATGCCCCGGTTCATTGTCAAGGAGATGGAGTCGCAATTCATCGACGAATCAAAAATTGCCATCAACCAGTTGATGGTCAATTTGGAGTCTTTACCAGTCTCCAAATGTTCGATGGAGGGCAAATACGGGTTGCAGAAGCTGAAACGTTACAATCATCGTAGCGATCGCTCCCGCCCCCGTAATCAAGGTTCGTCTTGAATTCGAATGTTACCTTTTAACGTCTTAATCTAAGAAAAGCGTAACATTTAGATTTAGGAGTACAGTAAGACATAATCTTAAACACGTGCTTTTAAAATTTGAGTATAGAACGTCAAATAACTCCTTGAAAATAATAACGAAAAGTATCCAGTATTCAGAAGATATGACCAACGGCAACTATATGCCGATGACCAAGTTGTGGCCCCTTATAAAAAGGATACCGCGTATTTCAATGGTCTTATACGGTGGGCACGCGCACCTTACATTCTCCTTAATCTTTTCCTTTTTTTTTTGGATCTCAGCCAAATCGAAAGTATTTGGTACAAGTTATACATCATCTTCTTTCTCATATCTTTATCACGTTCTCAATCAATATAGTATTTTTTATTAATACTCTTCATGTTAAGGCAAATAGATTTTTGTGCAAGGTTTTGTTAAGAGCTGTTCATTAAAGTTTTTCCATGCAAGAGGAAAAGAAAAATCATTGTTAAATATATACTTTTGGAATATTTTAGCTTATGATTATTTTGTCTCTGTTGAATCTTTTCGCTTCCAACAGGGCTCTCTAACGACTCCGCAGACTCGGAACCCCAACTGACCAAAATGGACGTAGCCCTCTCGTTTCCGCTGGAGGTCGTCGTCATGGAAGTCAAGGGGATCAAGAGTCTGGCTCCAAATAGAATCGTTTACTGCACCATGGAATGCGATAGCGAAAAGTTTCAAACTGATCAAGCTGAAGCCTCGAAGCCCATGTCAGTTTTTCCACTATTTGAGTTATCGTGGCAACAATAATAGTCTAACATGTAATTTTACCACAATTTCATGTTTTTAGGTGGGACACACAAGCAGATTTTACAACGATGAATCCATTGCCAGTTGTGAAGATACGTTTTTTCACCGAAAATCCTGCAATACTAGCTCTAGAAGACAAGAAACTCGGCGAGGTCATACTTAAACCGACGCCGTTGACGAATCGCTCGCCAGACTGGTACAAAATGACCGTCCCACGAAGCTGTCCCGACCAGGATCTTCGCATGAGAATTGCCTGTCGGATGGAAAAGCCGTTGAACATGAAGCATTGTGGCTACCTTTACGCGGTGGGCAAGTCCGTTTGGAAAAAGTGGAAAAGACGCTATTTTGTTTTGGTCCAAGTCTCACAGTACACCTTTGCGATGTGCTCGTACAAAGAAAAGAAAAGCGAGCCGTCGGAAATGATGCAGCTGGACGGCTATACAGTTGACCATATAGAGTCGTCGACCGCTAACGTAGTAGCTGGCATGGAATTGACAGGTGGAAAGTAAGTGTCTCATACACCATCGTATCCTATCAATGAATGTCTGATAAAAAGTTTTCAAGATAAAAAGAACGTGATCGTTGATCCTCAGGTACTTTTTCAACGCCGTCCGAGACGCAGATATAATAGTCTACGCCGCGGACGACGAGAATGAGTGCCATTTGTGGGTGACCGCTATGTACAGAGCTACTGGTCAATCCCACAAGCCTGTGCCACCCATATCGGTAGCTAACAAGAGCTTAACGGCCAGTAAGATACAAGGCGATACCGACAAAGCGAAGAAACATGGGATGGAGGACTTTATAAGCGCTGATCCATGCAAATTCGATCACGCGAGCCTTTTCAAGTTCCTGCAAAGATTGACGCTCGAGTACAGACTGAATGACCCTTACTGTTCGCTCGGATGGTTGTCACCTGGTCAGATTTTCGTCATGGATGAGTACTGCGCAAGGTAGGTCTTTTCTAACAGGATGAGTAACTTCCTGAACTAACTGATAATATTTTTTTATCATCAAATTGTAGATACGGAGTACGTGGATGCCATCGGCATTTGTGTTACCTCAATGACTTACTGGATAAAGCAGAAATCAACGTCATGATAGACCCAACACTACTTCACTTCAGTTTTGCATTTTGTGTTAGTCATGTCCAGGGTGGAAGACCTGATGGTACGTAGATTATTTTTCCACAGTAACAACAATTAAGGGTTTAACTTGAAAATTCATGTAAAAATTATACAATTTCAAAGAAAGAATCATTAAAAATTGAGATTTACTTGATGACGTCTTTAACATTATTCGTTCGAGGATTAAAGGTACGGAATAGCTTCTTAGTTTAGGAATTCGTTAATTTTCTTAGCTAGGGCTTAGACACGCTAAATTTGCTTGACACACGCAATAAATTTTATTTTAATTTTACAATTTATTAACACATGACATCCCTTTGTAAGGGCAAAAACTGACATTCTTTCAAATTTCAGTGAACTTAGACCCATTAAATAAAGACCGTGGTCTTACAGGTGTGGCATCTGTCACCCACGAAGAAAAAGATGTGTTCATGGATATCAAAGATCGTTTGAAACAATTGCTTGAAAATCAAATAACCAACTTTAGGTAGGCCCGAGATATGATTGGAATTATCATTGGAATATGGTGTACAAAACGTTTCACTCATCAATTCCCATGTCAACTTCTAGGGTATGCTTCCCATTCGGTCGGCCCGAGGGTGCACTGAGAGCAACGTTGACCCTGATGGAACGAGTGCTGGCAAAAGATTCGACGAACGTCGATACGGAGGAGGTCCGAAAGTTCATAAAAACGTGCCTGGAGACCGCGGCTCATGTAAATTACAAGAAGTTATCAGCTGAGGCCAAAGTCGGTGAAGATCTCAACGGAGATGTGTGCGTTCCTCCAAGCAAAAAGCTGGAAGATCTCATACATCTTGCCGAGATCTGCGTCGATTTGTTGCAACAAAACGAAGAACATTATTCGGAGGTATTAGTTAGGTTTTTAGAATTCAGTGTTCATTACGTGCGGGGCTCTCGAGATAGAGGGTTGCATGATTGATTGTTGTTGTTGTCGTTGTTTTTATTTTTGTTAGAGACTTGGTAAGGGTCTCAAAAGTACCTCCTCAGAAGACAAATCAATCGCGATTTAGATTTGTATACATATTATACTTCTCACCATCACTTGCTAATTCACAGTTATTTATTATTTCGTTGATTTAGATAGCTTACAATGGTACACGTTTTAATTTATGGTTTTGTAACAAGAGTACAATAATAACGTAGAACTGCAGAAATTTACCGTAGTTTGGATTCAGATGAATCTAATAGCTTGTTTATTTATACGATGTTCAATGCATACTGCATTGCTGAAAGTTTTACACATATTTATACTTTTTTTTTTTTTTCTTTATAAGAAATTATAAAGTAGAGCAAGATTTGCAAGTTCCCGAAGTAATGATCATTTAGCAATGATACACTAAAGTAGATATTTATTTTCTTTTCAAAGCTATAGTACAAAATTTTTGAGTCTTTTCATTTTAATTCACGTATTTGGGCCAACGCATTTGCATAATCAGTAAAATAGCTTAAAAACCACATTATAATTGTCAATGCAATCAACAAGAGTCAAAATATAACTGATAACAAGTATGGTGAACGTGGGACACAAGAGTGAGTAAATTTCCATATCGTTCGATAGAATATGACGTAGAAGCACCATTTTTTCCACGAGTACAGTATACTATTAGTATATTTGTCGAAATGACAATAGATACAATGCCGTGTAGCGTAATGTTGATCACAAGTAGTGTCTTCTGGGTTCTCGAGGGCCTTGCGCCTAGAACTGGCGTCCCCACCAGTCTAGGCTTCATGGGACATCTTCCGCCGTAAGTGTGTGTCGTCCAATATTTTCACGTTTCGCTCCTACTACACTGCACCGCAGGCGTTCGCATGGTTCAGCGATCTCCTGGTGGAGCACGCTGAAATCTTCTGGAGTCTCTTTGCCGACGACATGAACAAAGTACTCGCTGAACAGCCACCCGACACCTGGGACAGCTTTCCACTATTCCAAGTCCTCAACGACTACCTTCGAATGGACGGTCTGTAGGCTAATACCCCCCTTGCTGTAGGCTTTATTCTAATGGGTCTAATTGTGTCATTGAACTGTTACAGACAACTTAAGGGATGGACGGTTCCATCAACTGCTGCGGGACACGTTCGCACCTCTGGTGGTTAGGTACGTGGATCTGATGGAAACATCGATTGATCAGTCCATGCACAAAGGCTTCGAGAAAGAAAGGTGGGAGATCAAGGGAAATGGCTGCGCTACCTCGGAAGATCTGTTCTGGAAACTGGATGCCCTTCAGTCCTTCATAAGCGGACTCCACTGGCCGGATGCCGAGTTCCGCGTTCACTTGGAGCAACGGCTGAAGCTCATGGCCACTGACATGTTGGAGGTCTGCATCCAAAAGACCGACGGGTCCTTCCAGCAGTGGTTGAAAAAGGGAGGCATAGCCTTCAGCTCGACGGACTACATTATTCCGTCAGAAATGTGCTCTATGGTTAACGTTATCTTGGATGCGAAGAATCAAAGTTTTAAGCTTTGCACTGTCGATGGGGTCGATGTGGTAAGTTGGCAGGTTCATGGTTTGGTGTGAACGTCAGTTATAAGTGATTGTTATTGTACATAAAGAGAAAAAAAGCTAAGATGACGATAACTCCAATGATAATGATATAAACGATAATGATAAAATGAATGGACAGGGGTAAAGTAAAGGATTTACATTATTTTCTTAGTTGAAATCTGGTTGTAAAAAGGTCGGACGCTTCCACGGACGTCTTCCGAATGATTACGGGATTTCGTTGATTTTCGCGGATACGCTCAATCTTTTTACAACCAGGAATTTGTTACCCCATAAATTTATTTTTTTTGATTTCTGGTAGAAATTATTTTGATAGATCGTAATGATGGTAGATACATATTATTATGCGTGTGTGTGTTGAATAGAGGACTCGTTTTTAGGTAAATGCAGTTAAGTTTTTTTTCATTACATCAATACGCTGCAATTTACAAAACTATTGCCATACCTTTGTTTTTTATTTTAATCCTTGTACGAGTGAATTTATTATTATTTGCTGATTACCAATAGAATTTTTTCTTAGAACACACCAACTTTTAGTTGATAAGATAAATCATAACTCATTTGATTTCGGTACATCGTTTACGTATAAAAGTTATTAGATGCGCCCTATTTACGATACTTCGACTACGAAAAAAAAAAATCAGTTTGAAAAAAAAAAAAAATTTTCTCAAGTCAACAATAAGCTTCACGTTTATTACTTTTGCTTCTTTATAATCAAGTAGATAGCTGCGTTGCTACGATTATGTTTCAGCAGTTATTGAAATCTCGCGCTCTGAATTTCTTTGTACCTCGCACAATTGATAAAATTAAAGCTCGAAACGGCATAACGTTGTGTGCGATGCAAAAAATTCAGAGTGTCCCAGTGCAAAATTTTGATAAAAACACCACCCCACTTTGTTCCCCCCAGCATCTCTATCACGTGAAAATCGACGACATGATCGAGAAGGAGTTGGCCAGCATGTCACAGGGAATGATCAACAAACTCGTCAGCATTTTGGAGGCGACTCTGTCAAAATTATCGCGTTACGATGAAGGCTCGCTCATTGGCTCGCTGCTCAGTTTTGCGGTCAGTAGAATCTTTTGTCAGTTGTCAACCGAAATCTTTCCTCCGGTATTATTGGTTGTATAAATTTGCAGAAGGTGTCTGGAAGTGGAAAAGAAATGGGCCAAGCTTACGTGAGCTTCACAAGAAACAGTACCGAACAGATTCGTACGAAAGTCATTGATGAACTTTGGATCCTGAATTTCTTCGAGGTACGGACAGGTGGATGGTCCAGTCGAACGGAATGACTGAATAAATTTTTGTTCTCGTGTTTTAGCAATGGTACATGGCACAGGTCCAGCTGTTGTGCAACTGGCTGACCGAACGAATGGACCACAGTCTGCACGTGTTCCAGTGCACTTGTCTCGCTCACATTGTCAAAAAAATCTATTCCGATTTCGAGCTCCAGGGAGTCATGGAGGACAAATTGAACTCCAAGACTTATCAGACGGTAGCTCAGAGAATGCAAACAGAGGAAGCAACTTGTGCCTTAACCATGAACTCTCACAATGAAGAGTACGACTATTTTTCAGTGGCAACAATTCACATCGTAAGGTTTTAAACACGAATAATTTACGTTCTGATTTCCAGGGGACTGTCTGAGAACGGCAACGACGATGACGTGGAGAGGCCCAAGACAAAGGTCACCGTAGTCGAAAGCGTAGGGGGCGAGGATGGCATAAGCATCAGCAACGTCACGTCGAACGTAGCCAGCAGAGTCACGGGCATTTTTGAAAAGGGTATTGGTGGCCTTTCTACGAAATTTGGCGGAGCAACCAGTTGGTTCTAAAGAGGTTTTTTCTTTTGCACGTACTCACTTGTTTGCTACTGTTCAACAAAGATATGGTTGGATGAGGATCTATCAACATTCGCCTAGAACGTTACTTCGTATTGAGACGAAAAATGAAAAGAGAATCGATACTAAAGTAATAATTATACAAATAAGTTCCGGCGGATGAACACTAGGGTGTTGCTAGGAGATAATATTATACATATGAATTCTCTTATCTTGATTTTGTTGAACGACGAGTATGAGGCAAACGAGCTTGACGTTCGTTTTGTTGGAGTTGGGACATGTAAAGAAAATTTTACGTCACGATCGATCGTTGACGATATGTTGACGCTTGTGTCCTTTCGTTTTGCGTCTTGCGTCTTTGCCGTCCTCGCGACAGTTCTTGCGAGAGCGCCAACACTTTGGGAAAAAAAGACGTGGAATCGAACGGAGGACAAAATGGCCGACAAAGAAGGAAATGAGAAAATGGCGGTTGAAAGCACCCCCCCTTCTTTGACCAGATATTTTATTATAATTGTGTCTTAACATCATTGAATAAGCGAGTGTGGCTTTTGTTAGTAAAATCATGTTTGCGAAATCAATGTCCCGGTCTAAATATTGGAGGATAAAAAAATACTTAATGTATTTGAAATTGTATATTACGACGGAATAATATGCAACGTAAATATTCACAGCATCGATAAAGAGATAAGCGCAATGTTGAAAAATTTTAATGAGACAACCAAATATGGTAATACGTAAATAAAAGCAAAATAATTATATATTCGATTTATGTTATAACGTGCATTGCGATGGGCAGATAAAATTGCCCATAGAAAACATTTTTGATCAGTAATTTTTAACATTTACACAAGGTTTTTTTTTTTCATGATGGAATAAGGAAGTTCAATATATGAACTACCGCTCATTGTATGATATTTATTAATATTCACTACTAAATTTAACATAGCACGGAAACTCCAACCAAAATCTTGATGTTAAAGTTCCTCTATACTAACAGTAAGTGGTTGTTGTACATTAATCTTGAACCATTCATATAATTCTGTCATACTATAAGNATTTATTATTAGTGTACGTGTATACTGCGATGCATCTGCTGCCGTATCGCCAGTGATGAGAAAAAAAAACCTTTAAATATTACACGTGAAGGGTTAAAACGCCAAACATCTCGTATCGGATTTTTTTCAGTAAACGTGGCAACGTATAGTCTTGTGCTCGTAACTTTCTGCTATGCTTTGGATTCTTTTATAATTGAATCGATCTTTTCCCATTTGTCTCACTTATTAAATAATATAAATATCCAAGACAAATAATGTGCGCTCATGCCAGCCAATATGTGAGTTGTAGACTCCGCGTGATAGTACTTCTGTACGTTTATGGTAAAATATTGAAAAAAAAAAAAAAAAAATTCAATTAACTTAGTAAAAAAAATTCGTAAAAAATGTGAAATATAAAAAGTATGTAAATTGATGCTAAAGTTTAAATTATAGTTATTTTAATGTATATAAGAAAGTTACATTTTGAACATCCATAAACTAGCGTGTTTCCTTTTTTCCAATTCAATGATTAAGCGTCGATTTTATTGTTTTTGCATTTTTCGATATTTATAAATGTGTGCGGGTTGGTAAAGTACAATATAATGTTGCTCCGATTATTCAACTTTGATTCTCTTACACGTTAAAAGTGCAATCGAAAGCGTAGACTTAGTAGTTTTTTACGCAATATTCATAGTAATAATTTTTATTGACAAAAAAAATCTAGGCAGCTCTTATGGATATAAAAAAAAAATAATAATAATAATAAATAAATGTAGAAAAAAAAAAATTTCAGATTTCAGTCCATCTATAATGTACGTCAAAGGTACTTACAGCGAACAAATGTTGTATTGTTATTTCTGATTATGGCTACATGACGAGACAAAGGCATAGCAGAAACGGCCGATGCGCTAAAAGAGTTTTCTTGAATAGAATATAATCATAAAAAAAATTATAATAATATACCAAATAAAACGGACGATAAAAAGAAAATTGTGCAAAAAGTGCAGCGAGAGCTTGTATCGATCGAAGACTATAAAACGAAAAAAAAAGGTCGGTGCCTTTATACAAATTTCGACATGATAATAAAAAGGAACACAAAAGAAAATTTTGCGCATTCAACGATAAAAACGACTAAAGGGTATTAACTGAAAAAAATAAGAACATTTACTCCATAAATTTATCCAAATAATAGTTTTCCCTTGTTATACAATTTTTAAATTGATACGGAAATATGAACCCGTAGAGAGTTTATTAAACTAATCTTAAAACTTTATTAGCTTGGACTTTTTTTCTTCTAATTTCAGAATAGGTGAAGGAAAAATAAGTTACATTGTTTGCATTATTATGAAAAATAATTGATATGTAGATGGATAATTTTTTTTAAATAATTCATTCGAAATTACAAAAAAATTTTTTTTAATGAATAATAAGATTTTCATAGAAAAAAAAATTAGTTTAACATTTCTGACAAGGCACTGTATCCTTTCGCTTTTACAGTCTTCCCTAACTATATCGCACACACTTTGAAATTCTCGGAGGCATACTTATCAATAACCTATGAGAAAAATATTTTTTTTAAATAAAAACGCATTATAACTACATCTTGACACGTAATTGTGATCGCGTGTACATACACGATTATCGTACTATAGAGGTTATTTCAAAATCTAAAAAAAATTTTTTTAAATCTTCTCAACATTTTCATACTGTTATTCTCTTTTAAAAAAGTTTGTCTTGATTCTTAATGAAAGTGTAATATAATAATCAATTTGTATAAACAAACTTATTTTGATTATTACGCTTCGCATTGTAAAAGCACTAAATGTATCCAAAAAGAATCGTGTAACATATAAAAAAGCCGTCGCGTCGTGTAATTGACACAAAACAAAAAAACATATTTAACAATTCGCATGGGATTCTTACTAATCACAAATACCTGTAGCGATGCACGAACTGAGAATAGAGAAATCCAACAAAAATGTAGAAAATTTGTTACAACAAATTAAATGGGAAAGGAATGAATGGGAATGAAAATTTTGTTGCCTGTCGAGTTGAAAGTGAGAACAACGGGAAAGAAGAAGATGCGAGTACTGCTAATTGAGAAGTAACATGTAAATATTTTTAACTAAGGCAGTGATAAAGTAAAACAAAAAGTATAAAAAGTAAAGTAAAGTAGAAAAAGAGTTGANTCGATACTTTGCCTTCACCGTTTCTCATGATTTTAACGAAAATTCAGAGCATCGCGTCGTTGATTGACCTTTAAACGCCTTATACACACATCATGTATTTTGTATATTTTAAAGCGAGGGAAATGAACAAAAAGAAAAAAAAAAAAAAAAAAAAAAAGAAAAAAAAAAAAAAAAAAAAAAAAAAAAAAAAATGTGTGGGTTTTTAAAAAAAAAAAAAAAAAAAAAGAAAAAAAAATTAAATAAGAATGATGATAATTAAAGAAAATTGTGTGCTAGCGAAGTTTTGTATAATGATTAGTTAACTACGCCGAGGTGTTGTGTACTGCGCGGCCCAGAAATTGCGTTTGCGACCGCTTTTGTCATTTTTCACTTCTTTCTGTACTTACTCTTTTTTCTAAAATCGAAAGAAGAGGCTTTTATGATTTCTTGAGAGAGAAAAATTGTTGTGTTGGTTTCTTTATACAATTTTGGGAATTCAAAATTACTTAAATTAATAGTCAAATCAAATGATTTGAAAATTAATCGTGAAAAATGTTTGATTACAATTTTTTTCTCTCCGGTTTCGACGAAAGATTCGTATAATTGCGATCGTTGCACTTTTTGACGTGCAGCGACACCTACACTTCAGCGAAACTCTCAATCAACCGTGCTGTGCTATTAATGAAAGAATGAAAACAAAAAGATGTAAAAGTATAGTGTAAAAGGGGAAAAAATGAGAACTAAATACGAAAATATCTAAAAAAAAAAAAATAAAAGTGAAAGATTAATCGGTCATAAGCTTACTACATAAGCAAAGAAGTGGCGACGGGAGAAACGCTTTTGAGGTTATGAAATCTAAAGATTCCTTTACACGAATTTTGACGATCGCAATGTTCAGTGGATTTTCTGATTCGAAAAGTCATGCATTGATTAAAAAACAAAATATATTATTCAATTTGTGCAAGTCTCTTTCGAATTTCTATGGATCTACCTTGAGATGTAGGATATAGCTGAAAGTACACATAGAAATTGAAATAGAGTGCCATTTTCTTCAAATATCTCTGATTGTTGTTTTTACTTAAGATAATGATACGTATATTTTCAAACGAATCCTTTTGCATGTGATACATTTTTAAGTGATTGGTGAAATGAAAAACTAACACTTTTTCGTGGATTCAAACAAACAAAGTAAACTACAATTACGATCGTCAATCGCTAACACTCTTAAAAATCATTAAGATAACAATTTTTCGTAAATTAATGAATAAAAGCGCTTTTCTGCGTCCAGCTTCATTACTAATATATTACTAGCTCGCCCTTATCAAACTAATGGACCATAAAAAAAAAAAAAAAAAAAAATTAAAAAACAATTCGAGGTACAGCTTTGTGGAGTCCCGAGCGACTGTCATTCGAAAGACTTTATCGAAATTATTTTTTACCAAGATCTTTAATGTTTGTACAAACGTTGAATTTTCTACCTCAACAGGAGAAAAACAACACGATAGAGAAGGCCAGAGGAACAGAAGATGCGAACAGTACAGAGTCGAAAATCGTACATATCATTTTTTAGGAGAAGAATTATAATTTTTATATGATATATTTCATAAACAGCTTGAGAACGGCTGATCTACACAAAGTATCTATCAAAAAAAAAAAAAGAAACAAAAAGTCGAAGATATGTATAAACAAATAAATATATATTTTACCAGTTGCAATATTACCATATCGCGAAGAAGAATTGAAGTGAAAAAAACACATACGTATCGAACTCGGTCCAGTCGACAAAGCTGTATGATAATCCTCGAACGACAGGCGAGACACCCGTTCTCGGATAACAAACTTACATCGAATCGCAATTCGATTGAGTGACTTGTTATCAAAAAAATAATAATAAAAATAATAATAATAATAATAACAATAACGGTAGCTGTTAGAACAAAAGTGTTGATTGAAAAAGATAAGTATGAACATACGAATGGTCCTTATCACGAGCTTTCCTAAAAGTAACTACTGCTATATTTTAAAGTGCAAAAACTAACTAGTCCCCTTCCCCCTTCCTTACCTCATTGTTCACCGAATGAAGCATCAACTACTTTAAAACTCGCACTTCAATTGCCGCTTAAGCGCTAGAGATGTATAATTTTTATTGTAACGACGATAGCCTTATAAAGTAGGGTTCCGCAGCGTATCATATATTGTAACACCATTCCTCGATACTTTGCCTTCACCGTTTCTCATGATTTTAACGAAAATTCAGAGCATCGCGTCGTTGATTGACCTTTAAACGCCTTATACACACATCATGTATTTTGTATATTTTAAAGNCTTCACCGTTTCTCATGATTTTAACGAAAATTCAGAGCATCGCGTCGTTGATTGACCTTTAAACGCCTTATACACACATCATGTATTTTGTATATTTTAAAGCGAGGGAAATGAACAAAAAGAAAAAAAAAAAAAAAAAAAAAAAGTGTATGCGAAAGATTGCGATAAACATATATGTATGTAATTGGGCCACAACGCGCTGAAACAAAAATGTCTTTGTAAACGGGTGTTTTCTTTTAATCTACGTCATTTACAAGCGGTAGAATCGAGGCGCCTTGCGACCAAAAAAATTTTTTTCCTCGTTACATCATACATGTACGTACACAATCTCTTTTTTTCGATTATTTTGTAAATGTAAGGAGACATGGCAAGCGACAGACAATTGATTTTTGTTTTTTTGTTTTTTATGAGCACACCTATGCTTGGAGATTTTTTTTCTACCAGTAAGAATTCGATTTTTTCTTTGAAACGCACAATGCTGCCGTCGTTGTGATTTTCTTTCCCGATGAAAAATTAATATGTTCATCATGACGCAAATTAAAGAATTTTTTTTTTTTTTAATAATTAGATTATCTGATTTTTCTTCACCTTTAAATACGAAAGTAAACGTTACCGCCCGAGTAGCGTAGCAATCATATCTCCTTGCGTTACGACAATGCGCATTCCCGCGCTGGTATATTATGCATTCAAAAGCATCTTTAATGAAAAGAAGAAAAAAATAATTATTAATTACACCCGTAACTTCTTAAAAATATCGGTAGGGATAGTTTTAGATCACTAGCATCTCTTGTATAAATTTCACTTTTAACTAAAAAAAAAAGATGTACTTTGATCGATATTTTTTATATATACTTCGCACACTCTGCTCTACAGCTCTGCTCCGTGTTTTGCTTTTCTTTTTCCAGAAAAGTGAAATGGAGACGAAGTAAAGGAAAAAAGAAAGTTCGGACGACAGAGAGATGATATTTTTGCACCGAAGTAAAAAAAGCGCGGTAAATTAATAAATAAAAAATTTAAAAAAAGAAAGAAAAAAAAAGAGAGACGATTGGGAGTTGCATCGCGTTACGATTCTACTGCGAGATTGTAATTGAAAAAAAAAAAGAGGGAGGAAAAAAAAAATAATAGTACGTAACCAAGCGGAAAAAATGAGAAAGATGTAATATTGCTGATGTGAAAAAGCAATCGTATTAAAGAAGTGGTATCAGTAATCTATTAAATACTACTATTCTGACTATTTAGCGAAACTCTTGTAATCTAATCATAGAGTATTCATAGATTAGAGCAGTAAAAAAAGGACGTAATGATATTTTTCTGCTTCGATCATACGACTACGTTAACAACTATATTTATTGCACGTGTGTACAACACAACAACATTATAATAAAGCAAATGCCGACGGGAACTTCTGCCTCTAACTAAATGAATATAAATGGAATGATTTAAACAAACCGTTTTCCCTTCTCATATGCATTTGTGTTGGTAATAAAGGTAATATCAAGTGAAAAGAATTTAAAAAAACAAGCAAAAAAATTGTGTAAAATTTGCATAGCAGGCGATGCGTTATATATAAATATAATTTAAAAAAAAAAACATCGTTTGAGAAAAAAAACGAAAAATTTTTACTATAATAGCAGGTGTTCTAGTGGATTTTTCTCTTGACTTCTATGCTGTTGTTCTCTCGTTAATAAAAGAAGAAAAATGAAGAAAAATAAACAATAAACAACCATATCTTGTCAAATAAATGCACGTTTATCCAACTATTTTAATTTTCCGCAAAAAAGGAGCACACGCGACTTTTCGGTTTCTCTTGCTTGAAACTGCACTTAAGAAGTTTTATTTTATCCTCGAAATCTCGTGTTGGCTCTCTCGATTCAGTAAATGCAAAAAGAAAATGACAGTTAAACAGATGAAAAAGGTAATTTTAGTTTACGCGCGTTCGCTGCAATGTGTGAATGTTTTATAGGAAAAAAAATTATACATATTAGTAATGATGATGATCGTCGCATGCGATGGAGAATCACACGAGTGACGTTGTCAAACAAAGTTTAGTAAAATAATCGAGAGAAAAGCAGATAAGAAAAGATTAATAAATGCCATACATATGCATTATGGTAAACGATGCAAGGCAGAAAAATTTAAGATTTATTTAATTTTCAGTGGATACACGTTACTTTACATCGTGCAATTTAATATTGACGATTACATTGTGTAAATAAATTACATTTAAAAACATAAAGCCCATATTATTTTAACAATTGTTCCATTTGTTTATTATTGGGTCATTCATTTAATCGTTTTGTTTCAAATTTTTTATTTGCAGCAATTTAAGCAGTGAATAATTATATATGTCACTCAAAATAATCATTTTTTCCGTTAGAAAAAAAAAATTTCTTTAACGATAGACAAGTTATTAATTGTTACATTATTTACACGAAAAAATCTGCATTTACTTAAATTTCATTGTGAAAATTATTTTTATATACATATAAATTTTATGCAATAGATGGACTACATGAAATAGATACTAAAATTATTTTTTATACTTAGTAAATTTTTTTTTTTTCTTTTAACTACTAGTATAGTAGCCATGGAGTGCCATTTTTATTGAGAAATAATAATAGTAAATTGCAAAGACATAAGAGAACCTTCATGAAACAGTGGCGTCACATGACACGATGATTGCATTATGGTACTTTTGAAATCTTTTTTTGACTTTTGACAATGTAAAAAGAAATCTTATTTTATACGTGTAAAGTTAAGTGAAATTTTTATTAAATTTGAGGATTCAAAAGAAGTGCCATTTTTGTACTAAAAAAATCTTAGAGTGTTTTCTTTTCGTGGCTGCGGGATAGGATATATAACTGGTTTTCAAAAACTTTAATGGTGTACTTGTGTCCTATGAATCAGTTATTAAAATAATTTAAAAAAATTTTTCAACAACTAGTCTTTTAATTTGACTACTGAAATTTTTGACGCAATGACCCATTCACTTATTTGTATTGTTTAAAAACAGTTTCGAAAAGGACTTGATTTCCAAGAATATTAAATAAAAAACTTTTAAATACACGTACATGTAAAAAGAGTTAAAATTTCAATACTTCGATAAACACGCAAGTAGAAATTTTTAAATTAATTATCCCGTACTTATACCTTTTGGCATATGTCAAGTACTCAAATCGCAGCGCCACGGAATAGATCCCATCTCCCCAGATTTTCCTAGGCCAGCCGTAAAAAGCACTACCAACTTGTCGACACCAAATCTTAGGAAAAAGAAGAAAAAAAAACCTGTGATCGTATTATAATAGTTAAGTTACGCAATACGCAAGTCCCTGTGCAGACGCCCCACTATACACGTGCTGTTTAGGCAAGCTCAAATCTATACAGACACACACGAATTCCAGATACTTATTCCACAAGACGACGTCTTCGTCTCTCTCTTTCTCACGGACGATCAAAAATCATAGATACATATATAGCCAACAAAGAGAGAGAGAGAGAGAGAGAGAGAGAGAGGGAGATTCCAACTTCCAACGTATACTTTGATCCCTACGATAGACTGTTCTCTCTCTCGCTGTCGCGGTCGTGTGTGCGTGCGTGCCTTTAATTTTCGGGGGTCTCCTTGTAAATTTTTTTTTTATTCCCACCCCATTTAAAAACAAAGGAGACTCACAAACAGGAACAAGTATAACATGCTGGCGGTAATTATCAGCATCAAACGAATGTTTACTGGTTATGACCCCACACTCGCGACTTATCAATGTACTATTGCTTGCAGACGATCGTCAGGGGCATTATCGTCAGGCGCTCGTTTTCCACCTCGAAATGGGCCGCCGCACAGCAGGTGAGTTTTTTTTTTTTTGTTTATTGCTGTTTGACGTTTGGTTATTTTCTTTTTTCTCTCATCTGATGGGTGCAGGTTTCGTGTATGAAATTTGCATGGACGAAGATCGGGTTCGCTGACATAACCTTGAATTTCTGGCTTGTACACTTTTCGGAGCAGAATGCACAGACCATGATTTAACAGGATTGTTTTTCGCCCCGATTCTTATGTCAATCGTTGAATGTAACAAAAATTTCATAGATACCGTCGTGCAGAAAATGAGGGCTGAGGTATCAAATTTGTTGTCTTCTGATGTTGGGAATGATTGTTAATGAAGGACGTAGAAAGGTCACTTGTTTTTGCACTTTAGCGTTTTTTTATGAGATAAAAGATCGACGAATAATCATTCCCAGTGTCTCCTTCGTGTTTTTGGATGTTGGGTAGTTTTTCAAATTGCTGAATGTAAGTGTGGGCTTGCTGTCAGAGCACAGGAATGGAGCTTTTGGATGGATGCAATGGTTTCATATATGTTTTTTGGATTACGTTCAAACTTGTGGCTGTGCTGTTGCAAAACTGTCAATTTATGAGTTAATAGTTTGTATTTAATACACTGTCGCTTTTTTTACTTCCAATACTTGAATTATTGAATTATGTTACATTTCAGATGACAGTGAGAGATGCTCTAAACTCAGCGATGGACGAAGAGATGGAAAGGGATGAAAGAGTGTTTATTATGGGTGAAGAGGTAGCTCAGTACGATGGGGCCTACAAAGTTTCCAGAGGCCTTTGGAAAAAGTACGGTGACAAACGTGTTATTGACACTCCTATCACAGAATCAGGTTTTTGTGGTATGGCTGTTGGTGCAGCCATGGTGAGACAGCTTTTTTTTTGTTTAATTTCCCGAGCTATACGTTTTTCAATATGAAAATTTTACTTTTTAGAATGGTCTTAGACCTATCTGTGAATTCATGACCTTTAACTTTGCCATGCAAGGTATCGATCAAATCATTAACTCTGCTGCGAAGACATTTTATATGTCTGCTGGTAAGGTCAACATACCTATTGTTTTTCGTGGTCCTAATGGTGCAGCTGCAGGTGTGGGAGCACAACATTCACAGTGCTTTGGTGCCTGGTATGCTCACTGTCCAGGTTTAAAGGTAAAGTATTTTTTACACCAGCTAAACCTTGCAGAATTGAAACTGTATATTGAAACCATGTGAATTTCAGGTGATTTCTCCTTACAACAGTGAAGATTGCAAGGGACTACTAAAAGCTGCCATTAGAGATCCAGACCCTGTAATATTCCTGGAAAACGAACTGCTCTATGGTGTTCAGTATCCTATGTCGGACGAAGCACTGTCCAAAGATTTCGTTTTGCCGATTGGTAAAGCCAAAGTCGAGCGTGTAGGAAAGCACATCACTCTGGTGGCACATTCCAAGGCAGTTGAACTGTCACTGGAAGCTGCCAATCAACTAGCGGGTCAGGGTATCGAGGCCGAAGTTATAAATCTTCGATCTCTAAGGCCGCTCGACATAGACACAATCATTCAGTCGGTCGTCAAGACGAATCATCTTGTCACTGTCGAACAAGGCTGGCCGCAGTGTGGTATTGGTGCTGAAATTTGCGCGAAAATTTCGGAAAGTAAGTCGTCTTTTTACGTTATTGGGTTTTAAAACTTTAACGCCTTTTTTTGAAATATTTCTTATTTTAAGGTGATGCCTTCTTTCACCTCGATGCGCCTGTAATTCGAGTGACAGGAGTCGATTGCCCGATGCCATACGCTAAGTCCTTGGAAGCGATCGCACTACCAGTACCGGGTGACATTGTTTTTGCCGTCAACAAAGTTCTAGGCGTCGCACAGTAAATGCTGAACATGTTGATGCCACTGTATAGGAGCAACCATTATTTAAAGTTACCCGCTCACACACCATTCCCTTTCCTCTGATTGAAAAAATCCCTCGAGCCACCCTTATTTGTTAATAGTCCTGTAGTTCCTCTTACCTTCTCTCCCTGTTGTTTCCCCTTTTTTTCCTTTCGACATGCTTTTCTTGAACTCTTTGAAAAGCTTTGTGTACAAAACTCCATAATGATAGATAAAAAGAGAGGGAGAGGAAACGCTTTAACGAGAGTATAGTATGGAAAATAATTAAATCTTAGAAAAATCAATTTAAACGAAACGAATTGAAGAAATGCAAAGGAGATAGAAACGTGCGAATCGTGCGTATCAGAAGAGAACGTTGTACATGTAATGTTTCTGTTCTTTTCAAACTTTGTTTGTGAACAGCAAAATTCGATCTACGATCTGTTATAGTGACCAAGTCTTGCAAATGCAAATCTAACATTGGTTTACGTAATCCAAAAAAAAAAATGGGACACCCATAAGCTTTGTGTAATGCCTACTTTACCGTGATTTTGTTTTTAATTAATTTAAATAATCTACTTGCAGTTTTACAAAACACATTTTGTGATGAAACTTTGCAATTTAATTGTAAAAGGTAACCAGTAAGTAAATTACTTTTAAACAATCATTAATATGGTAAATTATTTATTATTGAAACACTTAAAATGAATAATTAACGGTAAAATAGAGCTTTAGCATTCGCTTTGTTCAAGACAAGGTAATTTAATACGCCGATTAGCAATGATGTAAATTAAAATAGTAAAATCGGCTGAAAATGAGCTCGCAGCTTGTGAGTTGCATTTGTTTATTAATTATTTATTATAGAAAAAAAATTGTAATATACATACACCTAGAGTTTTTATTTATTTCTTACTGCTATCCAATAAATTCTAATTTTTCCACCTCATCCTTTTCAATATCAATCTTATCAGTGTCTGAATGTCATGTATGGTACATACGCAGCAAACAACTGGTCAGTACTTTCATGTAGCGTTCAAATGCGTCTCGTAACTCACTTTCCCTGCAGTGAAATTAAAAAAAGACATTTAAACATGATCTGGAAAAAAAACCCACATCAAAAAATACACCTCATACCTCAATATATCCATATCAAGTGCACACTGAGTGAAAGCAAGTAGGAAATTTTTCAGATCCGTGTAAGTCCAGTTTACTTGTCTCCAAGGCTCAATACATTTTTCCACCAAATCAAGGAAAAATGATCTCAGTTCTCTGGTCCGATGTAAATTGCATGCTATGCCAATTATATTTCTTGAGTAAGCTCTAAAGTTTAAATCTAACTCTTGATAAACGCGATCTAGCAGCATAGGCTTCAGTTTTATGCACACCAAACTAAAATGACATAATTTGACTATTTAGTTACAAGCTGGGGCCAATTTTTTAATTAGAAAGTTTGTGTATATCTCACTGCTTATGGTGTCTTTCGTTTTCTAAAAGTATTCGACATTCAGGCAGTTCAAGAAGGAACTCTCTGTCGAGATCTGTGTCAAAGTATTCCGAACCAGTGTATCTGTATGTCCATAAGGACATCATTCGATTAGCACAGTGAAGTAGATCGGGAAATGTCAGAAACTGCAGTTTCCTCTTGTTCATTTCAAATCTAAGACAAGCTATAAATACAACTGCCGCATATCTCCTGAGCACAAGGTGATGAAATCGTACATTAAAAAAAAATGAACACTTTATTTTAATGTTTTAGCATCCAACGATGGGCATGCACACATACTTAGCTAATTCTTCGGGTAAAAGAAAATGCTGCTTAATATTAGTTACTAAGGAGCCAGGCAGGTCCTCAACAATCTTAAATACTCTTTTGACATTGTCGTACTGTCTACGACAACTTTTTAAACTAACGCCAGTCTTTTCAGCAACCTCCTCCATGTCCTTTCGATTTTTCGAGCTGAGCTTTTTACCAAGCATCTCTCTAATAACGCTATCATTAAATTCATAATAGCTAAAAGAATTGAATAACATGAGAGGAGTCGACAAATGGCATTGTTTAGGATAAAAACTTTATTTTTGGACGAGATACAACGTGTATAACTAATGAGAAAATTCTTACATTTCAATTAACATTCGACTAGTGTGGGGCTCTATCTGGAAGGCCAATTGTTCGCTCGCCAGTTTTGCTGGAGCGTGCAGTAACTTCTCAAGAAGAGAGTAAGTATGGTAATGGTCCAAAACATCTGAAGCAACCAGTTCGATTGGTGCATTTGTTTGTTGGCAAATTCCTCTCTGTTGTAAAATGCTAACAGCTTCACTGGCTGTGTGAATATCAATAATCATCGTTACTTATTATATTAGTTTCTGCCGCAAGAAAAATAAACACAATATCCGCATGCAATTGACAGATGGATTGATTATGTTGCACGTATATGAGTAAATGCTCAAGCGATGCTCAGATATACTCACGCGAATATCCATCGACCCACAGTTGATAAACGTCAGGATCAACAAACGTGTAATTACTAATAAAAACATCAACCTCCGACATTATATTGTCAACCCAGCAATAGGTTACGTTTATCTCACTTCCGCACACGCTTATCATAGCAAGAAAAACAATGGCAATCAAGAAAATGCATTTTCATTTTATATATTAACACTGCATCGGGTACCAACGCTTATAACTCTACACGCCAGTCGACGGAATTAATTGAAATCCTTGACCAAATGCAAATTTAATGGATAATTTATAAGATGCACGGATTATTTTTGCACTTTTGACACGACTCCAATTCGAGATGTATGCACATATATTATACGCTCGCGAATACGTTGATGATAATGAGGAATAATGCACGGATGGATTATTATTGTGTTGATTGGCGTACTTAGCAGACGCTTCGAACAGCTGGTGAAATGACGATTCTGACTTTTGACACACACCGGGAACACCCGTAGGTAACATATACATATCCATACATATATATTTTAGTCATGTTATGAATATATATATATATCGTGAAGAACCATTTCCACCAATGGGAGAGGTGTTGTGTCATCGAACTAGCCAATAAGAAATAGAATTTACCGCTTGACGAATCTCTGAGCCGATGCAGAGCCCTCTACAACATTATCTTTTTACGTAAACAAACGACTCATAAGGTAAGTGTCCCTATTCATGAAATATGAAAATTCATGTATTTGTTATACAACTTACTTGATAAAAAAAAATTGTGATATTTGTATATTTTATGTGTCTTTATGAATTTACAAGAAAAGTTTCATTATACATACAATAAATGACCAATTTTAAAGATAATTCCATAAATAGGGACCAAGTCACACATAACCTACCTTTTGAACTGTACATATATAATGGTACCAAACTTCAACGAGTAATTTATACACTTCTAGTAAACAAATAAACAATACAATTATTTTTATTAAATAAAAACTTTGATGCAAGTGAAAAAACTTTAATTGTTTTAAAATATTGTAAGTATTTAAAAAAGTTTCATCAATAGGGACATAGTTATGAAACAATAGGTACAACGTTCCACAATTGTATACATTTTGGTCTTATAATCTTTTTATAAAACAAAGTAATTTAACAATTAAGGACCATATTTAAAAATTAGAATAATAATGGTTAGTTTATAGCGCATCAGCTCATACCAAAATTTCTACTATTGAAGCTAACAATTAGGAAAAAAAAAATTAAAGAAACAGGTATGATGTAATTTGTGGTCGTAATAGGGACATTTACCTAGAAAGAGAGAGAGAGAGAGAGAGAAAAATGGAGTTTCACCTCTTTGCAAGCTCCGTGTTAAACTTAAGTTTTTTAAGGAAATCTTCTATTGGTACGTTAGAGAGAGAGAGAGAGAGAAAAATGGAGTTTCACCTCTTTGCAAGCTCCGTGTTAAACTTAAGTTTTTTAAGGAAATCTTCTATTGGTACGTTATTATTTTAATGTTTTTTGATGTATTGTTAGGAAATTATTTGTAGCTTTCAAGTATTAAAAAGAAGAACTTATTTTTTTTGTTTCTTTTTTTTTTTTATACTTTGAATCATAACTCTTAGGGTAAAAATATCGTGCATAATTATTAATTTTGTTCTAGATTTTTTTTTTATTGCTACTTTTAACACGGATCTTAACAAAAAAATTTTTAATGAAAATAAGGCATTACAATTCATAGAATGATGAAATTTCCAAGATACTTACAAGTGTCAAAATATCTGAAAAAAGAAAAATGTTAACAACTGTTTGGACACACTTTGATTTGAGCTTTATTCTTTGAACATTTGTAAAATGGCATTTACTTGGAAACATTGTCGTAAAGATGATGAAAAAAAAGTTTAGTCAAAGATGATACAGAAACTTTTAGCAAACAATTTAATGTTACAAAGTTTGTAAATCTGTAAAACAATTACATGTTGGCTGAATACATTTTCTTTTCCTAATTTTCATGAAAGTGTAATAAATTTCATTAACATTTTAAACAACTAATATTGAAATAAATTGAAAAAATAATATATTGTATTAAAAATCTGTTGTGTTTCTTGTGAAAAAAGACTCACGCAAGTAAAGAAAAGAATATAATTATATTACAGTATGATGTATACGCTCTTATTAAATAATGTGGATATGGTATTTGTGCCTCTTGAAGTAACTAAAGGTGGTATAACTTTTTTGACATACTGAACAGTTGTAGGGACGCTCGCCTGTACGAGTCCTCATATATTAATTATATACTTTAATATTGCTTGGGTCAGTAAATTTCTTTTGGCAGATGGTACAGTAACCACATGGTATGCCGGTATGGGTGCACATGTGCCTCTTGAAATTGCCTTTTTGGTTGCAAAATTCAGGACAATCTGAGCACTTAAAGGGTTTTGTGAGTCTTCTTGTGCCTTGTGAGACCACCAATAGACATAAAATCCTTTTGACATTTCAAACATTTGTAGGGTCGCTCCCCCGTGTGGATCCTCATGTGCTTTTTAAGATTGTCCGAGTTGTTAAATGGCTTTTGGCAGATGGTACAATGACCATAAGGAGTGCCTGTGTGGATGCGCATGTGCCTCTTGAGATTACCATTTTGGATGAAGGATTTTGGACAATTTGGGCAATTAAAGGGTTTTTCCCCTGTATGGGTCTTGATGTGATGATTGAGGGCAGTGCTAGATGTAAAATTTTTTGGACACATCGTGCACTTGTAGGGTTTCTCCCCTTTATGGATGAGCATGTGCCTTTTAAGGTAAAATTTATTGTTCAATTTTTTGGAACACACTGAACACTCCACAGCGTATTGGCCTGCGTGAATAAGTTTATGCACCCGGAGATAGTGTAACCTTGTAAAAGTTTTCCCACATTCATGGCAAAGATGTGATTTTCTTAAAAAACTTCGACCAGCTCCGTTTTCGTGGCAGAGATCCTGTTTGTGGCATTTCAACATAGTAACACCAAAGGATATCAAAGAGTACAGTCAGATATAACAATATAAACTTGACCTTCTGTTTATATTTTTCGTTTTTTCGGTTTTTTTTTTTATAATTTTTTAAATTGTGATTTTTGATACTGTTCTTCAAAGATGAAAGTGAATTTCGTACACAACTGTTTTTTTTGCTGTCAACAAAAAGCAAAAAAACGTTATAGCTGTAGAGGTACGTAATTTGTATTAAAGCAGAAAAATTTTGTGTCTTGATAAAATGCATAAAATACTGTTTCAAACATGGAAAGAGGCATAGTATATTACTCACCTAGGGAGTAAAAATAAAAAATGTTTCGGGTCGCAGGCAATCGATAAACATGCGATCTGAAAGATTCTTTGTTTTCTCCCGTTAAAAAAATATTATTTTAAGCGTATATCAGAAAAATCACAAAAAATATCCTGTTTTTGTTCCCCGTTTTAATAAAAACAATTTTTTTTTAGGGACATCCTTGAAACCGGGCTCATTTTACTCGTAATGACATATACTACGAGGAAAAAATTTAAAACACTGGTTTTAGTAAGGGTGACACCCTTTTATCGTGATGTATATGTATACCTATACATGTGATATCTATAGATATTATTTTAACATGTAATCCGCAGAAACAGAGTGTCACCCTCATTAAAACCCGTGTTAAAAATTGTTCAACTCATAGTAAATTACATTACGAGTAAATTGAGCCCGATTTTAAAGGTGTACCTCAGAAAAAATTTTTTTATTAAAATTTGGGACAATAACAAGATTTTTTTGTGGATTTCTTCATGTATTGTATGAACTGAATAAAAATAAAAAATAAAATTTTTGTTGTTTAACTTCAAATTATTAAAAATCACTTAATTTTCCATCAAGTTTAAAATTAACAACTTCGAGCCGTTTAATTTCATCACCCATCATCGAATGTAAAAAAAAAAGCTCAAAATCAAAACCACGCTTGGTGTATGTTTTTAACTTTAAATAGTCCAAATAAGTAAGACTTTTTCCTTAAACGAAATGCCATCAGAAATCCAAGTATAATGGAGAAAAACTGTCTTTCATAAAATTTTATCAGCCAGTTTTGTTGTAAAAAAAGTACGCTCGCGTACAGAAAGCAGCAAATTTTATTTCAAACAAATTGAAAAGTAGTTATAAAAAAAAAAAAAATACAATGTCATCTTCTAATCTTTATGTCCTAATCTGAACGTGAACAACGTGGTATTCAATTTCTGCTCCATAACCTCAACATCTAACGTTTATTTTTTTACAGGGACACTACGTTCACATTTTTTAGCACAAAAAATTATTAACGTACTATCTTTATTTGCCATATTATCAATAACCATGACTTATAAATATTGTTAAAACTATAAGTGTATCATAATATCATAATAACAAAACACCTACCTACCTAAATTAAATAAATACCACTATATTTTTGGGGAAATTTTTATTTTTATGGAAGCAAAACTATCTATTTAATCTATTAAAATTGACATTATCAAGTATTTATGTTTTTTTAAAGTAAAACGCAATTTTTCAAAAATGATGAAACAAAAAACTTACCGTAATGTGTTTGAATTTTCAGTAGATGTACCAGAAACGGTCGTGGTTGATGTCCAAGCACTCGTTCAGTCCAATTATTTGATTCAATCACTTTTTCCTCAAAATAAACTTCTTGAAGCCCTCACGTTTTATATTTGTACGATAAAAAAAAAATTCAAATGTATGTATACACGCGTTGTACGTAACTGCACGGTTTAGAAAAATCGAAAAGGAAATTTCTGCTCGACGCTCCTAAATTTCACGGACTATAAAATGAAATAACAACGTGTAAAATCCAACGCTGGAGCATACAATGCGTGAACAATCGATAAAGTGCTTTCTATATCCGACTATGGCAAGCAAACAATGTTAATCGTATAATAATGGCTTTTGTTTAGGCGCACGTCGACGGGCATGGCAACGGCGACCTGACGAAAGTCATGACGAGTCGATGACAGCATGAACAAGGGAATTAGCGTTGCGTTAGAAATACTGGAAAAATAATCCAAGCTGTGAAAATAGTCAACTCGACTTTTCATGTAAATACGAGCGGTCGTTATCGTATTTGCTTCAGACCAAAGTATTGGATAGTACACAAAACAATGAAAAACACGTGCATACCTAAATTCCAATAAGTTTCATTTCTTAAGAAATATAAATGCGCTTCGCATTGTATCGCAATCGTTTGGACTAGTACAGATAATTTGTCCACAACATTCGTGGATGTGCTGCTTTGCCTCCTCTCTATTTAACAAGCTACCATTTTTTTCTCAGGTTTACTGTAATGTTAAAGAAATTCCAAAGCATATAATATATAATGTGTAAAAAATACGCAAATACAAAGAAGAGGTTTGTATTGTGTTGTGTGGAAAAAAGGCAAAAATTTTTTACCTGGGATTGAGTGAATAAGTAAAAATTTGTAGCAGGAGTAGAAGAAAAATCAGTTCATAAAGGTAACGGAATGCTGTGCAATAAACGAAAAATGTATTCACGCAAACCCACTGACCGGTCGTACTTTATACAAATATCTCCATCGATGTATTATTAACATTTTTCCCCGGCAATCCGTGTTTTATTAAAATAATCGCTTGACTTTGGGGTGCACGTGAAATTTCGGAGGAACATCACGTGCTTATATTGAAGTCAATGCCAACATGTACTCCCACATGTTCTCTCTTTGCTTTTTATTTTTTTCATCACGTGCAAGATGTGTGATATCGATGGTTTTATTTTTGGAGATGATCCCAGAGAGCATATCTCGAAAACATATACTCTTTCTCATGTTGTCATGTATACTGTGAAAGTAAACAATATTATCAAATTAATAAAGTATAAAATTGATTTTTTTAAATCGCAAAGGGTTTCACACTTATTAGTACAAATTCATAACACATTAAGTAAAAGCATTTTTTTTTTTTTTTTCAATAAAATGATGCTATATATATTAAATGGTGTGTCGAAATGATAAGGTATATAGCATGCATGTAAGTGATTAAAATGAAAATACATTTATTGTTTGAAATGCTGGTTTAATTAGCAATCCAGTTCATTAGTAGGAAATTAAATATGATTTATAGTACGTGTAGTGCGGAGTTTTGCATTTATCAGTTGCAAATTGGCTCTCCCTCTCTCTATCTCTTTCTCTCGCCAACTACAGTTAAGTACGCATCTCTTAGCGAACATAAAAATGCATTATCGTTCATTACAAGTAACTCGCATTTGTGTTCAATTTGCTCAATTGACTTGCATTGGCAACTTTATTTATTATTCTTCTTCTTTTTTTTTTTTTTTTTCCTTCTACAGCTATATCCTCGTCATCGAGGTTACAAATTCAGTCGTAGCCTCGTTAATAACAATATATATGCGCATTCCTTTGTCAGTTCACTAGACAATACAATAGCGATGTTAAATTTAGATCGAATTAATATAGAAGGAAAAATATATGTTTTTACGCCTTAAGGTTAATTTATTAATTATTTTAAAAAAAGTCACTATGACGTACCCGAAATTCGCTCGCGAAGCCAGCTGCTTATCCTTGAACGTATATATATATATATATAAATATATATATATGTGTGTGTGTGTGTGTGTGTGTGTGTTTATATATGTATATGCACACGGAATTAACTGTGCGGACAAAGAAGCAGTTACGCAACGAAGAACAAATTAGATTATTAATGGATATTTACAGCTTGAAAAAACAAAAACAAAAAAAAAACAAAATCAAAATAAATACATGTAGAGCCTAACTTTAATCTCAATTCTATGTTACAAAGTGACGATAACATGATTTTTTTTTTTATCTTTTGCATTGATCATCTCGACAGCCCAACTATTTCCATATCACGTATGGCTAAGCCGCTCGAGTCGGTGCGTATGTTTTTTAATACATACATTCGTTGGAGGTTTGAATATTAAAAAAAAAAAAAAAAAATTTGCTGAAGAAATAAGTTTTCTTCTCGATAACGAATTTAAAGTTGTGTAATACTGAGACGATTTCTATCTTATTTATTTTTCATTTGACAATTGATTACCAAAAATTATTCGGAATAAGTGTAGTCTTCGAGTGAAAAGTATCACTTCAAAAATGACATAATACTTAAAGTCAACAAAGATTAACTTGACTTCAATTAAATTTGTGAATAATGAAGAAAGCAAATCAGTACTCCACAATTTACTCCTACTTTAATTTATTTTGCCGTAAAAATTTAGCCACATAAGCCAGTGGCACTTTTATGGTTGTAGATGTACAAAAATCCAGTAAGAAGTAGATGGTCGTCGATACCGAAAACAAAAACCCTGAAAATTACATAATTGTACTCACAAGCATTATCGTTAAACAACAAGATAGAAAACAACACTGACGCAACATGAGTCATTATTTGCGTTAAAATTTTTTTTTCATGGCACACTTGTAGATACGGGCATTAAATTGATATTGATATTCACGTCCAAGTAGATGTACATGTACGTATTTTATGTGGATCGAAGAAATACTGCTTTGGTCGGAGACATTGACATGTTATCAATAATTTTCTCGCAAGTAAGTTCATTGCATTCGCGGAAGACCATCGATTGCCGGCAAATAACGAGTAACATTGAGAATCCATAATATGGTAAAGAAAAAAAAAAAAAAAAAAAAAAAGTAGTCCGACATCACACATCGATAACCAATGATTGCAAGCTCTCGACATTGGGCTACATACATCCGCAAGCTTCCACAACCATGTTCGGTAGGGTTTTTTGCGTTATGGTGTTGTTCGAGTCGACGTACAGCAGTTGGATCGGCGAGAGTTGCGTGGGCGAGCAGCAAGGGACGATCTCGTTTCGCCGATGGATGAACTTCCCGTGTGCCAACAACCTCTGCAATTGAACAAAATTTTTACAATCTTTGCTTCCCCCCCCCTTTTTTTTGTTACTTATTTAACGATGACTTGTGGTTGTGAAACGAAAGCAGGCGCGTAGAAAACCACGGGTTTGCCGAGTGAGCGAAAAAAACAGGGGATAACACATTTGTTATCTCTGATCAAAAATCTTCCATTATTGCTTGTTTCCTCGTACAGTGGGTTGTATGGACTTTGCGTGATTCCGATAATTAGTACACCAAACTCGTATACGATAATATGTTACTTTGTGTACCAATAAATATTAATCGTAAAAAGGCGATTATTACATTTCATTTAATTTGTAATTTTGCAAGTAGACCGACCGTCAATTTTGACAAAAGCTCCAATTTCAAATTCACCTCCGTTAAAGTGTCGTTTCGTACTCGAGTTGTGGCGATCATAATAACAATAGTAGTTGCTGAAAACGATCTCGACGTCGTCGACGACGTCATCATCGTCATCTTTGAAATTCATTTGCCACACACAACAACGTCACAGCATCGAGCTTACGCGAGCGAATGTCTTGTCTCATTAATCATGCAAGAGAACGCACGCGTCGTGCTTTCAAGTGTCAGCGGCTTGTCTCTCTTTCCTCTTCGCCCGAATATTAAGGTGTGCACGTGTCGTGTACTGCACGAGCCCTATGTGCCTCCGAATGCGAAATATCGTGAATTTCGTGGTGATGTAAATGGAACTGATTCTTCGTGAAGTATGTCTTGATTGTATGGTGTTACCTGATTTTGACATGAAGTGCGATGTTCAAGTCATAGTGTTACGAATAAGTAGAATTTATCAAACGTTATTTTATGGTTCCAAAATTTTCGTCACTAGATGAACCCCTTACCAAATTTTTTTAAGTTGAAATCGTTGTAAGGATTCATTGCGCGATTATTACATTTGGCATTGATCGTGCATGATAATTCAAACATTTGTAAAATATCACAAAGTGTCTTTGTAAAGTTTTAAAATAAATTTCTCGAACCTCCCAGTTTTGGTTAGGCTATGACAATAATAGCTGTTACAAAAATAGTATACGCCAAACGTATGATCGAATTTTTGGTATTAAAAATTTTCTGCAGGACACACACACCAAAATGATGCAAGATTTTTTGCAAAAAATTTCGTAGAGTCTTACAAAAATTTGTACAAAGAATTTTGGTTAAAAAATTGAGCGAAGGCTGTCTAATTAGTGTTGGAGTTGTATAGGTTAGGGCACTTTTGCACTTCCTCGAGGTGTTCTAACCTATAAAATACACTTTCAAGATGTTACACGTGACTTGTTAATCATTTTACGAAATTAAGAGAGCCAACTACTACTACACAATGAATTTCTAGTGCTCTTTGGAAGTTTTAGACACTTTTATCACTATGAAAATGAAATGGTTTTGCGACCTTTTTAACGCAAATCCAGTCGTAAAAAAAAAAAATGTAATTTTATTGCGAAAAAATGAGGAAAAAAAAAGCATAACATCACTTACCCTGATAACGTCGTTGTGATGTGTCCCGCTCATGGTTAGAGAAACGGCGGTCGAGCACGACCCCCGGCAAAAGTAGGCGTGATAGCCGCTCGGGTGTAGTATCCAGTCGTTCCAGCCAATGTCCTCGAAGCTGATGTAAAGCTCGTCCCTACAGCACTCCTTTGACTCAGGCTGGCAATTGGAGTTGCGTTTCGGCCTGTAGCGTTGGGGCAAGGGCTCCGTTTGTATCACCAGAAAAGGCTTGAGGGTCTTCTCCAGCGAAACCGGGGCGGTGTTGCGCTCTATCGTGCACGTGCTGCAAGCTATCTGGATCGAGTGGTTGAGCCGCTGCTTCTCAACCCACTTGCGCACAGGGAACCCTACGTCCGTTTTTACCCAGCCTTCTGGAGCAATCGTTATTTCGGGGCTCTTGTGAATTGTGGAGACAATCAGTGACACATTTGGGGGTGGTTTCGATGGAGACTTTGAGAGGTTATGTGTCTGAGGAAATTTTCCACAGCATGCACACATGAGGGAGCTTTCCACTGTTAGTTGTTGGCTCTGGCGTTAGTAATGTTTAAACTAATTTTTCTGGTGTTTGAATGACTTTGTCAAAATGTTGCTGTTTTTCGGGCTTTACTGAAAAACATGTTACGTGTTTATTGTGATGAAATCGGCATGATGCAACGATACACTGTAATATGTACGAAAAGAGCAGATGGATTTGCAATCACGGCCATATGAGCGGAGTATGTACCCTACAAACCCCTATCGTTTGACGGATTACATTTTTTTTTTTTTTTTTTTTTCATGTAAAAGCAAAGAGAAGGAAAAGGCAATTGGTTTATCGTTCTGTTGGTAAAGCCAGGGATCTTAGCAAACTGTACAAAAGAAGAAAAAAAAAAATAAAGACAACATTGTATGAGAAAGCGATGTGTGCAAGATTTGTTATCTTTTTGAACTCTGTCCTTTCATTAAATGATATACTAATCAGGACCGAATGATTGATTACCTATGTAATGATATGAAACACAATGTGTTGGTAATGTTTATAAAGCGTAAACACGAATAAAAGACAGGAAGAAAAAAAAGAACAACCACAAGAGCTTTCTTTCTACTTTATGGTTCATGTTTTTATCCGCTTGCCTTGTGTAATGCACAGCAACGAGGAACGAAAAGTTCATGCGCGTATTTTTTTAACACTCATAAACAGAATTTATATGGTAAATGTATAAATCACTTTTTTTGTCCAGCTACTTTTTGTACCATCGTAATACGTTTAAAAATAAATCAAAAATTTTCGTAGTATTGGTAATTAAACTATTTTTAAAATATAGTCGCAAATAGTGTCTTAGAAAGTCCATAAATCTTGGTGTTCATATAAAAAATAATCTAGATTTTTGGACACATTTAGGTTATGTGTGGACACGTACTATATATATTACAAATAGTTTTTAGTGCACAATTAACCTAAAGTCATGAAGGGTTTCAATAATTCTTTTTTCAAGAATCGATGATCTGCACTTTATGATCGATTTCGTCAGAACGATGAAATGTTGTTCACGTAATTTTCAGACCATATTGTGCTGTATTCACAACCGCAGTTACTATCGAAAAACTCAATAAGCAGTAAGCAAATGTTAATTTAATGAAACTAATCAGCCATTGGATAAATTACAAGATGAAAATAGAACAATCAAAAATTGATCGGTACATGTGCATGGATGATGGTTATCATATTTTTGAAAACATATACATGCTGACTTACCTCCTGTCGTAGTCTCGAAAATAGCCATGATGGTGTTCTTTTCAAAACTGCCTCTCTGATCCCAATGGTCGAGCTCTGAGAGTACAAACGTCTGATTGAAGCTGTCGTTTATATCGTTTTCCTTGTAAAACCAGAGCTCAGCAGAGGTCACGCCTACGTATTGCATTTCGTTCGGCAGGAAAAACGTGAAACACACCGCCGGATTGAAACCCGTTATGTGATTCGAGCTCTGCCGACATTTTTTCGAATAAGGGATACCTGAAACACATACGAAGGATCGAAGTCATTGGAATGAAAATTAATTAACTGGCTCATAAAATGTAATTGAAAGTGATTCAGTTGTTCAATAATAGCACAAAACTATTCATTTGATTGATTGCACACGCTAAAACTATTGACATTGAAGGATTTGATTTGGTTTAGATTCGATGGCAAATTCCACGACGGGATCAATTTTTATCCAAGATAACGATGCAAAAACATATCGCTTTACATAGTCGGAGCTCAATGAACACGACTAATTATAACCCCTGGACATGCGAAAGCGATCGAATGATCTTCGAACGATACAAAACGCGAACATCGGCTTTTGTACTTGACGCAAACATCTCGATAAGCCAGCCGAACAAATTGCATGGTCAGCTTTTTTTCGTAAAACATTGACAAACTCGAGATGTACTATTTTGCTTGCCTTTTCTCCTTTAAGGAGGTTCGGGAAAAAAGTTAAAAATGGAGAAACGTGCCAAAAAAAATGTACGTTATATTTGAGCATATTAGGAGTGTACAAGAATTTTTTCAGATTTTTCACCAGGGGAAATTTTTGAGAAAAAAAATTATGAAATATTGACAGTTGAACACGGTCTCTTATGAGAGAGCAAGGTTAGGTTTGCCTTTTAATTAAAATCAAGGTATATTATAAATGTGTTGGAATAAAAAAAAAAGTTTTCATAGATAACTTGGTACAAAAGGAAGATGCTCGACAAAAAAAATCAAGTCTTACCAGGCATTTTTCAAAAATATAAGCAGTTACAGTGGTACAGTTTCAAGTTTGTAGAGTGCAAGAGGAGCTGCGCGGTAAAGAGGGTCCAGATGCGCGGGCAGGGGGGACTCCCCGTTCCTCGCCTCTCTGAATGATACTCCCGAACCTCCTCAAGGCGGAACTCTCCGAACTTTCAACACACGGAATGAGAGCAGCAAAGCCGATAACTCGGCCGGGTTGGAGTGTCCGATTAAGATGCTAACGAGTTTAAGGGTGAAAATGTTGTAATCACGTATTAATATTGCTCATTTTCAAGTTATTGTTGCTAATTGCCGGATCTTCCGTTTTAATTAAGAGGGTCTGCCTGAATTTTTTTATAATTAAACGAAGCCTTCAAGATTACGCCGCCAAAATTTAGAAAGAGCGAAGTAGTTGGTATTAAGTATTGAACCACATTTTATATGTGTGCTTTTATAGGGTATCGTACTACTGAGTACTACTAATGTTTTTATCCCACCCATTTACAATAAACTTTTAGTGAAAATGTTACCATCTCATATAATTCCATAAAAGGTGGCAGGATAGTTTATGATATAAGAAACAAATGAACAAACAGATAGAAACTGTTTAAGGTTATGTTTTCAAACGATAGTTAGAGAGTCAGAGAACATAAGTATCAAAGTATGGAAAACGGCACATTGACTGTAGGAAGGGATCGAACCTCCTTCAGTAGTAAAAACAAGATTTAGTCAGTCAAGTTTTATTTTAAGATTAATTGTACATAACAAAACCAGATCTTTATAATTTCACTTATTTCATATTTAATTATCAATACTCAGACAAAAGTGAAATTTGCTGGCAACTAGAAACTATTAAGATCGAAAGTACCGAGATGCGTGTGTAATATTAGAATACCGTTGTGAATTAGGTACGCGTTAATGATCATGTTGCGGTGACTTGGAATTTGCTATTAAATTCTCGTGTAATAAATTTACAAGCAAACGAAGTTTTTTTGTTTTATGTGGCGATAATAGCAAGGATTTAACCGGCACTTTTACTATACTTTTACAAAACGTTAAAATGATGTTTATTATTAAATTATAAGGAATCGAAATGGCTTTCAGGAACATTTTTTCGTTAATTAATTTGGATTAAAATTTTAAAAAAACTAATTATAATACAAAAAATATTACTACCCTTTATATACTTACGTATCCATCAAGAAATTGGAAGTATGTCTCATACTGTTTTGAAAATATCCTAATTTAAAAATACAATAATTTAATGGGTTAACAGAAGATAAAGGTCTCAACCGATACATAAAAAATTTTCTATTATCTTTTGCTCTGTCAAGATTTTCAATTGATTTTGGTATCAGCTTCTGATGATTACCAATGATTGTCAAGAAAATCAATAACTAACAGACAGAGACCATCTGAGGTTTTTGAACCATCTAAAAATGTAAAAAGAATAATTCTTCTTTATGTTCGTCACATAATAGCAATACACAAGATTTTTTTTTAATTTAAGGTTAGGATTCGTATACATCAGCCAGAGAGCAATTCATTCGCATCCATCAAACGATTGGATTCAATTTAAGTTGCTGCGAGAGTTGGGACACGTCGGCGCAACAGCTTTTATTCTTATCAGCTGTTTCGTAAAAGTTGGCCGTTTGTTTTGAACTCACATTTCTAACTTCTCAAACATAATTCACAGCCGACATTGCAGTTATTTCTGGGCTTCTGATTTTATTTTATTTTTGCACGTAAGACTGGCGACATTGGCATTTTTTTTTTTTTTTTTCGGTTACGAGAATATCGATACTTTTGCTTCCTCGTAACAAAAGAATCTATTTGAAACCTTTTTTTTTCTAAGTTGATTTAAAACTTTTTTTTTGCTGTTCCAGGACACTTAGCTTACAAAATCAGAAAGATTATAAAATTCCCTACGAAGCAACTTATTCGTATGTAATTAAAAATATCTTTACGAAGGACTTTATTGTGCTTGTGGATAAAACCCAGGACCGACTTTTACACGACGTGGCTAATTTTTTTCCATCGTTTCATTGTCGAGCAAAACAAATTGGATAACGATACGATTAGCCTGTCATAAAAATGAAAACGAAAGAATAGAGCTTAGACATCATAAACCTATGTATTAGGCATGTCAAATTAATACACGTTGCACTGGAGAAAAAGATTATTGCGAAACATTTATAAGGAAGCTTTTCAACTTACAAAGAGTTGAGAAACTTTCTTCTTTTTTTTTTCTCTCTCTCTCTTAGATATCAGTGCTGCTACATCGACAATACAACACCACCACTTGTAAGTAGGGTGCAAGAAAAATACATTGCGCAAGGCCACCGACAGAGATTCGCACGATCACGTCTAGATTTTTATTAACCCACCGAGACGATATGTACCAGTTTTTCCCTTTGGTTTTATCGGACACCAAAAAATGCCTTGAAAAAAAAAAAAAAAAAAAAAAAAAATCGACCATCACTCGGCTAACCTTCGTTGGGAAAGACGACGATCTGGTTGGTCTTCCCGTAGAAGCTCTCGGCCGGTATCTGCGGCTCGAGCGGCTCGCCGGGCTTGAAGTCCAGCACGTGACCGTTGACCAGCGGCTTGGGCAGCGTCGACAGGCTCAGCGACACCTCGGGCGGCTTGTCCAGCCGGAGCTTCTTCAGTATCTGCTGCTTGACGTACTCGATCCTCAGCTCGTTGAGTATAGAGTCGTGCTCGAGCCCGTCCACGCTGTTTTTGGCGCAAGCCGTGCACTCGTCCACCACCGCCACCGGCTCGTTCGGGTACAGCGTCGTCCAGACGCTACTCCACGGGTTCCACGAGCCGAACGCGCCCCCGGTCACCGCGAGCACGAGCCACGCACCGATCAGGACAATGTTTTTCATTTTCGCGGGCTTATTGGTACCGATTGTTTCAGACTCGCGGGGACTCGCTTTCCCGCATCGTTAGCCACTTCGAGGGTGGGAGGGGGAAAAAAAAACAACCACGGCGACCCGTCACAAATGTCACTAAATCGTCCCTCAGCTGAAACTGTCGACGGCACCTTCGCGGATCTCCGCATCTGCACTCGCGAGCGACCGCTTGGGTGTCATAGCATCCTCTGGACCACTGAGGTTCGAAAATTAGCGTCTCTGTAGCGCGGGACAACCGTCGATGTGACGTAGCGATTGTAGAGAGAGACGCGAGCTGTACCCGCGCACGCACACCACGAGAGTGACCTTTGCACTTTTCACTCTCTCGGGAGCTGTTCGCTTTGCGTGTGGAATCGGCAGCGAAAGGCTTGGTCAGAGAGAGATGGAGGCTCGGTTGGCGCGTGCTTCTTTCTGACACGAGATAAAAAAAAAAGGGTTTCCTTCTCACTTGCTCTTAGGGGTCTTTGGTACTCGCTCGGGGATTAATGCGAAACGGGAGAGAGAGAGAGGGGGGGGAGGTGAACACGCGCCGCCGTCATGGCGATGATGCCGATTATTGGCGCTTCGTATATATATATAGTATGTACATGTAGTGGCAATCGTGCATGGCATTCCCTCCCCTCTCTTTTTTGTTGTTGTTTTGATGCTTTGATCTTTAACTGGTTGATGGTAATTGAGGTTATTTTGGTGGTGGTGGTTTTTTTTTTCGAAATCAACAGCCTGGAGCAATTCGATTTTTTTTTTTTTTTTTTTTTTAATAATAATTTAAGTGTACGCGCGTCCCGGACTGCCTACGTGCGTTTTCTAATGTACAGCCACTTGATTCAAGAACCATTTTGTTATCGTTCCAGTCGACGATTTGGGAAAGATGATTTGATGCAATCTGTGGTCATTTTTCTTTTCTTTTCTCTTTTCAATTCTCAAGCCTTGTTGTTGTGAGTCGTTGTATGTATGCAGGAGGTGCCTCGTGAGAAACATTCTTTTTTTGAGCCTTTTTAATTTTTTTTTGTACTGTAGGCCAAACTCAGAGAAATTTTTTTAATTTATCTGGAAATTAGGGATTAAGACATTTTTTATTCGGTTCATCAGGCGGTTTTGAGAAGAAAATATTAAGACTTTCACCTGAACAGTCGCAGAGTCAAGAAGAATGCATGTAGGTACACTGAAAACATAGAACTCGTAAAAGGGTATTCCCAAAAAATTAAATATATCCCTGAATTTCTTAAAAATTTAGTTTTTTTTTTGTGGATTTTTACATGTATGTATACGCGAACCGTCGTTTTGCGATTCATCTGTAACGTTTTCGCACGTGCCGATCACGTGAGATCAATTTCAGGCATAGCTCTTGATGGTCCTATCATGCAGCGGGCACGCGTGCACGCCTTCTAGTATATTATCACTTGTTGTCTCAAATGCTTTCTCTTCTTTATTTTTTTATTTTATTTTTTTCGTAACACAACACGGTTTTTTTTCAACCAGATGCGCGATTCATCGTCGACGCTTCCTCGAGTACCCTCTTATGACGCTTCAAGTCAAACGGCGACGTCATTTCGAAAATAATTTTTATTGACTTGTTTTTTTAAAGTTGTTTTAATCAGTTACGTGTATATACATGGGTCATTTTACGAAAATTGTATGCTTCAACCGTTTAAAACCGTAAAACTAAAAATATAATGTTAGAGCGTTTTTAAAATATTGTAATTTTTTATTATACCCATGAGTTTCAAGATAAATCTGATTACGTTAAAAAACAGGCTAAAATGTGACCTGTTTATTTTCAAAATTTTACTTTGAGCTATAAATAGAGCTTTTAATTTTAAATTTTTTACCCTCTATAGTAAAAAATTTATCGATTAAAGGGTCTTCTATTCCTGTATTTCTGGATTAATATATGTAATGGACACGTTCGATCTAGCCATTCGTTTGTACCAAACCATACCTTACCACAGTCGGTTCATTATTCCACGGATTCCAAATATCCATTCCACGTTTCATGTAAACCAATCTTACTTAGCCTTACTATGTTTCAAACGTTGCTTAGTGATAAAATTGATAAAAATACAGCCTCACTGTTTTCCGTTAGTTAATTGCTGAAAAATTACTATCTTATTTATTTTCTTTTCGATATTGATGATACAAACCCCTGATGAATTCTGACAAGCCATGATTGTGATACATCGCAAAAATTAATTGTTAAGTGTAGTTAATAGTTATTTACGTAACAAGTGCGGAAAAGACGATTTTCCGCCCTCGGGTGATTTTGGGAGGCTGGTACTTCCTCGGGCGAAAAAGCAGTTTTCCGGAACTCGTTCGAAAAGTCTCCTTTACGAACCTCGTTACGGACCTCGCCTTCGGCTCGGGCCGCAAACCTCTCGGTTCGCAAACAAAGACTTTTCAAACTCGTAGGAAAACTACTATTCCCGCACGAGTAGTGATTGACTCACACGAGTGCCGGAGTTGACGGGAACGAGTACCAGTTGAGCACACGAGTGCGTAGCACGAGTGTGATCGCGAGGTACGAGTTACCGTCACCGGCCACGAGTGCGAGTCCATCACACGAGTGCGGGAAATCGTCCCGCACGAGTTGCGTACAAGTTTTTTCGCAATGTGTGAGGAAAATAGGTACAAAATAGATTTGAATTTTGATTTCCAGTGTGTAGCAAAATTTTTTCCGGTGGGTGGCAAAACCTTTTCCACACACCTTTTCCGCACACTGTGCGGCAAAAACCTTTGCCGCACACCTTTGTCGCACACTATGTGGGAAAATCGATTTTCCACACTAATACCAGTGCGGAAAACACCCATTTTCCGCACACTATTGCGAAAAAATACAATTCTGAAGCTGGTGTTATCTTTAAGTTTTAATTTATTAAGTACAAAATTGCGAATATATTTTGGAGTACGATGAGTAGTCTTTAAATTGATTTTGATGATAAAAAAATTTATTCTGAGGGTTGTTTCATCATGAATGCGTTTATTTATGTAAAGAGCGAGGGATAACTTACTATCACCGAGTTGAGAAGGAACAATAAGAGCTGGAGCTGGCTCAAGATTTTGGTGAGTATGTTTTTATTTCATTCAGTCCATACTTTGAACTAAATATGAAAAAAAAATTCACGAGAAGCTGATATATAGATCTGTGAATAGTAACCCGAGAAAACAATTTAAGAGATGACGATCATCAAGCTTGGACGAATTTGATGATTTACAATCACCGGGTATATTAAAGAAACAATGTTCACATGGTACAAGCTCTGCTATCCAAAATACCTTTCACAAAAAGAAACTATATTCATGGTGAGTATTCAATTCCCTAAGGTAAATACACACAAACAATTAATTAAATCATAATCATCGGAATTAATGATTAGCTTTATTTGTGTTTGATTATATTTTTGTCAGGGTAGCATTGTATGGAAGTTTTTTTTAATAGTTTGGAATAGAAGTAATTAAAATCTTCCAACCAACACACACGTAAGCATGGTAATAGAAGGTAACACTACTTCTTCAAAATAAATAAACATTTATAAATTTTTAAGGGCTTATTTCATAAAAATTTCTGCAAAAATTTGATGCATTTTATTAGATATATTTTAAACAAAATTCTTATGCAGTTTTAAATTTTTTAAATCACTACTAATGTACAGCCACTNTAATAATAATAATAATAATAATAATAATAGTAACAATAACAATAATGATAGTAATAATACTGCAACAGACGGAAATGCAATAAGTCTAATTTAACAAAGTAGTGTTCAGGGTAAATATTTAACGTGAAGAGAACGCGATATTGATCGTGCTGCTATTTTTATAAGTATTTGTCTCGTACCTACAAACATTGATCAGCCCATTGTTTTTAAATACGTATTTTTCTACTGGATTATTATTTACAGTTGAAATTGAATAGTTACAGTTAAAGAATAATGAGATTTGCGTTTTTATTGTTTATGTGTTTGCTCGCTGAAAGTGTCAGTGACAAAACTGAATTCGTTGCAACATACTTTAACTACCTGAAAGTCCCATATGTTGTTGGATTTACATGTGATGGTGATTTCATGTTTAGACATTGTAAGAAGGTTAACATTTTTCGTGATTAATGAAATTTTTGTTTTACACATAATCTGTTGCTATCGAAAAAACTTAACAAGTTAAACATAAGAGCGACGTTTCCTAAACTAAGCAGCACTAGTCGTGTTGATTTTTTAGTAAAGTCTTATTACTGGAAAACGGGTATCTTCTTGGACATCCAATGTTATGACGAGGAAACAATCAACTGGCTCTTTTCTGAAGTAAAATTAATAAAAAATAAATATTTTAATCATTTTGTTTAAAAAACTTCAGTATAGATAACCAACCAAAATCTCTTCAGACTCGTCTATCGTCTATACGGTGAACTCCACTCCTGGCTAGTATTCAGTTCTAATGGTACAATCATCAAAAGTAAAGTAAAACAATACACTCTTTCGATGTAAACTATGGTAATATTGAGTTTTTCAATTAATCATGATTCTTTTTTATTTGATAAAAAGTCCAAAAAGTTAGGAAACTTTTGTTCCCGACTCTATCACCAAGTACATCCACAAAACTGGCCAGTTGAAACTAAATCAAGATGGATATAGTTACGATAATTATCGCTTATTTTATAGATAAAATATTTTTTCATTCATTGTAATAATACTATTACCTGAATTTAAATTAAATTTGAAGAATACACAGCGTCCAAGATTTACATTCACACCCATAGCAACAATTTTCGGATACTAAGCCTACAATAATTAAAAAACAATTACATCAATTTGATGTACTGCTAATAGTGGAATTTTAAGAACATTACAAGTTACATTTATAATACTTCCATATTTCATTAGACAACGAAATTTTTGTATTAAATTTTCAAACATCTATTATAAAATTAAATTTGTAATATTTAAAAAGATTAAAAAACAAACAGATTTTTTGTAAAATGACCTATGTGTATGTATGTTTAGATGCTGCGTAACATTTATATACATAATTTTATGATTCAGGTGCACGTTCAACATCCCTCTTTCGCGGCTCTCGCTGTGACCTATAATAGCAATTTTTTAGAAGTTTCTAAAATTGGGTAATATCTAAACATATTTTTTAAAAAGATACTTAAGTCAATTCACACAAATCTTATACAAAAACTAATCATAGAAAAGAAAGCATATTTGAAATTATCAGCAGTTGAGTTTGTAAAAAAAA